CCCCTTGCCCATCCTTTAAATCCACTCTTATTATTTAGAGTTTACAGTCAATGTTATCACCCACCCACCCTTAAAATATCTACCACCCACCTTTAGTTTTCTACAGCTACAACCCTGAATCTACTCTTGGTTTAATAATAATGATACTTCTCTCACAACTAATACCATTTCCTAAGCCTCACATTGTATTAATAAAGCAATAATTCCATCCTGTGATAGGCAAGAATGCCTGATGTGGATGGTTGTTCTAATACAGTTTTTTTAATGGTCAGCTGGGCATAACCTGTCTCTTATACACATCTAGATGTGTATAAGAGACAGTTTAAGCACAGTTCATGCTTAAAAGTTGTATGTAATTGCCTTTCTGTTTGTAGTGAAGAAATGTCATGTGTTTTCAGATTAAACTTTTATTATTTTGTGTAATGTAATGTTTTTAATTTTGGCAGTTGGCTTTTTTCCACAACAATTTAATTTTAGTGAAACAGCTTTAATAGGCAGTGGTTGGCTTCTCTAGAGCCACAAAAAGCCAATATTGAGTAATTTTGCTATTAAGACATATAGGGGAACAGGGGTGTAACAAGCCATTAATTCTCCTTTGTATAGAAACAATAGCTAATTTTTGGATATTAACGCCCATATTATCACTTTGAGTCGAATTGTCTTGTATGAAATAACCCAGGGATATCCCACAAAGGTATGAATACTTAATGTATTTCAGTAGGTTCTTCTGGTGGTGAGACCAGGCAATTTTTTGTGCATTTGGTTAGCAACATAATTCATATTATATTAAATTTTATTCTTATATACTCTGTTTCTAGGGAACATGCCTGTTGTCACACGGCCTAGAAAAGGTGGAATCGAAGTGCAAGGTAAAATTGACTTCCCGTGCCGGAAGACACGTTCCAGGAGTGCCGTTTCAAAGAAAATTCCATCCAGCAACGAATCCAACATCAAGGCAAATTGTAGGAAAAAACAAACTGAAAGACCAACAAAAAAGAACCAAGAAATTGTTGACAGAGATGTGCCTGAAATCAATGAAGAACGTGATATGAATTGGTTGGATGACTTGTTAACTTCAGTGACATCACCTCAGAAAAGACAACATGATAACAAAGGTAAAATGATCGTTAAATCACCATTATTATTATCATCATCATCATTAATAATATATTTTTAAGTTGGCACCCCATTTTATACTGTATTAGGCAAAAACTTATTTGAATTTTTAAAAAATGCAATCATATGGATGCAATCTACCTGTCTTTACTTGTAACAACATTGCACCATACTTGATAAGAAAAACCCCGAGTGTGTTTCATACTAATTACAAGTCGCTTATTATTGCTGTTTTATCAAATAATATGAAACATTTTATCACATATTAATGGCATTTCATCTTTTCAAGTTTATAACTCAGATGATATATAATAATTATTTACTATTATATTATATATTTAAGCACTTTTATCAATTCATTTACTATATTCTAATTTATTCTGTATGTAAATGAGTCTACAGTGTTTTTAGGTTATGTGGATTTCTGAAAGAATGAATACATTAATCCCAATAATATTGTTATCATTATTTCTTTTGACAGATAATTTAGAAGATGTTACTAAACAAGGACTCTCACCACCTAAGATTAAAAAAACAAGTGTACAGACAACTAGTAGACCATTACCATGTCCTATCAATACTCATTCTACTTCACCCATGAAAGAATATCCATGTCCACAAAGTCCACGACTTTCCTTGAGAAAACTAGAGTTTGAGACTATTGGTCACTTAAACAGTAATGAGAACAACCTTCCGAGTGCTATCTCTAATGCTAAGCATTTGGTTGCTAGCCCCCGGAAATCACCCAGAAAGGAAAATATTGTTCCTAAGATCGTCAGCCCTAAAAAAGGCATTGGGAAGATTGATTTTGACAAGACCCCGAATGGGAAAGTTAAGAATCTGTTCAGGAATGATGGTTAGTATTTTAATAGCACATATGGCTATCATTTTTATTGGTGATGACCTCTGAGCATCCGTTTAACCTAGTTGGGTTACCATCTACAGGGATGTAGTTTTGGTGAGTTGGGGGCACCCAGCCTTAAAAAGTTTTTCCACTCAGTCTAAAGCTAATTTCATGGCCCTCCACCCATGTTTGTTAACCCCCTTGCCCATCCTTTAAATCCACTCTTATTATTTAGAGTTTACGGTCAATGTTATCACCCACCCACCCTTAAAATATCTACCACCCACCTTTAGTTTTCTACATCTACAACCCTGAATCTACTCTTGGTTTAATAATAATGATACTTCTCTCACAACTAATACCATTTCCTAAGCCTCACATTGTATTAATAAAGCAATAATTCCATCCTGTAATAGGCAAGAATGCCTGATGTGGATGGTTGTTCTAATACAGTTTTTTTTAATGGTCGGCTGGGCATAACATGCTGTGTACTTATAATTCACATATGGTGATGTAATATGAATAATATTAAACATTGGGGATACTTTTACTGTACTTATAGAGAAATTTTTTAGTTTTGTATTATAGTCCTACTAAATTTTTTTTTTTTTTTTTTAAATAATTTTGTAAGTCTGTTGTTTAAAGTGAAAAAAACAAAACATATGTTAAAAAAAATTTATATTATATATTTTTTTCAGGGGAGTGCTATATGAAAGTCAAGAAAGCTTTGCATACGTCAGTCCCAGATAGGTTACTATGCCGTGACAAGGAAACATCCCAAATTATGTCCTTCCTCCAGGCACATATAGGGAAGAAGAAGCCGGGAAGTTTATATATCTCTGGGGCACCAGGCACAGGGAAGACGGCATGCTTGTCACATATTATAAAGCTGGAGAAGGTATTGTATTATAACAGTGTGGCATGTTTTTTTTCCATGACAATATGTTTTTAAGACCATATTGTGGGAAATGCTACCACAAAATATGTTGTGGCAACAGATTCAATCTTTTTGTACATTTCATATTTTAATCTAAAATATTTGTTACACTATTGCATTTAAAATAATATCTTAATTATAAAACAAAAGTGTAAGTAGTTAATATACAGATACATTGAAGTAATATCAAATGATGAACTCGTTTCTGTCATCTCTTTTGTTTATATCATGTGAAATCAATGCAATTATACAATGTGACACCTGGTTGATTTTAAGTTTGGGTTTGTAATGTACCTGGGCACCTGAGAATGGAAGCAATGACTTGTTCAATAGCTAGCTAGTAGGTGTAGTTCATACTTCAGAGTTGAGCAAATGCATGCCCCTGGTGTGGTATGATGACTAATCTTGCTAGTTTTAACTTGGCATATATAATAGGTCACATTAATAAGAAAATGCAAGCCTGCTAGGCCTCACAAATAATGTGACTTAATTAAATCAGAAAAATATAAGCTTTTTCTATGGTAATGTTTGTACCAAGTCACAGAGAATTTTTCTTAAGGGTGAAATTCACATATTACACCATTAACAAGCTTAATTTAATTAACCCAGTTTCAGAACTATTTACTTGTGATTGAGTTGAATGTTTTTTAGAATCTGATATATTATAGATATAGTGCCCCCTCTATATGTTTAAGTAGTCTTTGTCAGTAACAGATTGCTTATTGTTCAAGCTGTTAAATTATTAATTTTTGCCAAAAATATTTAACTTCATATGGTGTTCACTATACTTTTATGAGAATAATTATTTGAAGTTAGGGACTTTTTCCTAAGTGGAGTATTTTGTATAATCATTATTCAAAAGTTAATGGATGTGCTTAAACTTGAAGGTGGGCTTTGAGGCCTATACCCATATGGATATTTCATATAAACATTTTCATTATAATTGTGAAAATCAATTTTAACTATTTAATTCCAGTAGGCCTACTGTAAATGTCATTTTATCACATGGTAGAAAAACATTAGTTATAAATAAAATTAAATAATAGTTAAAACAATTATAAATGAGATTACAATATATAAGGGTAATAAATAATTTTTTTCAAGACAGTTGTATGTAAGACACAAAAAAGGTGAAAAAGTGTGTACAGTAATTCGCCCCTTTTTCCCCCCAGTTGTAAATATAAGTTTTTCATCAAACACCTTTTTTGTGTGTTAGAAAAATCACATCAGAGAATTTTCAATTCTGACCGAAATTGCGAAATTGCGTTTCCTATTAAATACTTATATTATTTAGAAGCAATATTCTAACACTTAAAATTTCTTTCATTTTTTCCTACCAGGAATTGATAAACCAATGTAAAGTTATATTCTTAAACTGTATGACTTTGAAGTATAGTCACGCCATATTTAGCAAGTTGGCCTCGGAACTTGGTGTCGAAATAACAAACAAGAAAGACGCGAGCAGACAGCTTGAGCGAGAGTTCACACGGAAAGGGCGAATGATGTGAGTTAACATTTGAAATTGGACATGTTTGTTTAGTGGCAAATCAATTTCTGTTGTGATTATTAACGGCAACCGATCTAAATCATTGTCATTTGAAACCTTGCATACACAACATACAGTAGACTAGACCCCTGGGGAGTATGCCTGGACACAGCAGCATTTAATCAATCTGTGGCATAATATTTATACAAATGTGAATAAGTGCCTAGCTTTAGTAATAGCAAACAAAAGATGTGACCAAATTTCATGGAGTGTGATTGTGCAATTATTAATGTTAATAGATTTAACTATAGCAATAACAAAACAGAACACGGTAGCCTTTAAGGTGTGTAAAACCAGATTTTACATTTGCCTTGCCTTCCACAATGTTCAATGTCTTAAGGCATTATGTAACACCATTTCATTAACATGGGAGGGTGTCGTCATCTATTAATTACATATTTTATGTTGGTAGTATAAATTACAGGTATATGGATGCGTGTGTGATTGAGATCAGACTGGAAATCAGTGGGTGGGGGAAACCAAAACATGCTAACACAAACTGAAAGATATTAATTATGACTTGAGGATAAAAGAAATCCTGTGTTTTACATTAAAAATTGACTCAAAGTGTATAGTAATGGTAATTACGGCAATGGTATTAGTTAGCTAAGTAGCTTTTGTTTGATGCCAGAATATTCTAGTAATCTAAAATTAATTCTCATCTTTAAGCTGCATTATGATATTTATACAATTAAGACATAATTTCTAATGTTTGTAGCTCCCATATTTACTTTATTTTAATATGGCAATGTTTTATTAATTGAATTTATAATCCACATTCATCAGTGCTTAGATATTTTTTTGCAACAAATACTATGTAAATGTATTTATATAGTTTACTAATTCCATCCTGTTATGAATATGTAGACTAGTGTTAGATATATAAATTATATAAAATGATGCATTATTGTTTCCAATTTAGCTTAATGGTTCTGGATGAGATCGATTACCTGGACAGCAAAAACCAAGAAGTGCTTTACACAATGTTTGAGTGGCCATCACTTTCAAAGTCCAGAGCAGTATTAATAGGTAAATACATTTATGTGTTACGAATCTAGTAGGCATGTTTGCACAGTACTAAAAAGAGCTATGGTTAATGGGCTAAATATTACTGGAATGGAAGCATTGAAAATAATCGTGCACTTTTAATTTTGCATCTCTTCGAATTGTGATGGCTTTCCAACTGTTTTCTCTCTCTCCTTTCCCGTATCCTTTGAGTTATTTTTAGCCCCTGGTTTTGGTGTACACTTACAAAAAAAGTGATTTTTTTAAATTTGTTTAGGGATTGCTAATGCCCTGGATTTGACAGATCGTATCTTGCCAAGGCTTCAGGCACGAGTGAACTGCAGGCCAGCGGTTCTGAACTTTGTGCCATACAGCAAAGACCAGATTGTCACTATTTTAGCTGATAGACTTAAAGAGGTATTTAATTTTTCTCAAATTTTTTTGGTCTGATATTAAAAAGAGCATTGTACTTAAATGGTGGTTTATAATAACAAGAACAATGAGTAAAGGGATGTTTAAATTTGATTTGGGCCTACTGTCTCACATTTTGAGGAGTTTTTTAGAATAGGACCAAGCTTTCATAATTCCTACCATTATATTCAACGATTTATTTGAGGTCAACTAATGTAGTTTCAATAGCAATTCATATGAGGGCACTTTCAATATGGAAGTAGAAGAGCACAAGACAACCACAATTTATATGTTATATAATTTAAAGCAATGCTCTAGTTGTAGTTTGGAAAAATTTATGTGGAATTATTTACATTAAATTCTCTTTGGTAATTGTAGACGGATTCAAGTGAGGAAGTGTTTGAGGGCGCTGCAATCCAGTTTTGTGCACGGAAGGTTTCTTCAGTTGCAGGGGATATAAGAAAGGCACTGGATGTTTGCAGGTAAGATAACACATCTAAAGCCGGAAACTAACTGCGTTGTAAGACAAATTAAACTCGTCTGCCAGTGTGCACTAGACAATGCAGTGCATTCTGCTGATTGTCGGTGGTAGTCTGAAGGAATTGTTAAAAAAAAACAATGTTTGGCGAGCCTTTCAATTCGGACACGCCTCTGCGCGGCTTCGATGCCTATCTCGATTCATGGGCTAATGGTTCCCCTGCCTTTCCAAGAGAACATGTGCGTTCTTCATGAAGTGCAACAGCTGACGACTTCTGTGTCCGACTTAAGATATTATTAATCATAAATGCATTTTATCTATCAAAACAATAAATATTTAATGTTTTGTTTTTCTACAGGCTTAGAAGCTGCTTAGAGTACACCCTAGCTTTCTACTTATTATTCATGTTCTTGTTTTTTACAGGAGGGCAGTAGACGTCGTATCCGCGGATGTTCGATCACAAACGTTACTGAAGCCTGGAAAGCCAGGCTCAAAATCACCCAAAAAGCCTTCAATCCCTGCCTCAGTCACAAAGAAAGTCGGCCTCATACACATTTCCAATGTCATTTCGGATGCCTACGACTCCTGCTTATCTCGTAACTCAGCTGAACACCACGCCTTTCCTCTGCAACAGAAGCTGGCCGTTTGTACTCTCCTGTTGCTAGTGAAGCATAGTAAAATGAAGGATGTTACTTTAGGAAAGGTGAGAACATTTCAGATTGGAAAAGTAAAGGAACTCAATGGTATTGTGGTAGCCGCAGTGAAGCACAACCTTGGGCTCCCAATTGTAGCAGTAATACCGAACTACTGTTGTTCTCAGAGGAGTGTACTGCATTCCTTAAAGTGTACATCAGCTATATTGCACATGATGAGTCGCTTTAACTTGTATTTCACAGTTAGAGCAATTAGAATTGGGGACAGACATGTTAATGGTTTATTACACACAGATACACAAAGGTCAGAGTTCAAATGCTGTAAGAAAACTGCTCTAAACACTACAGTATGGCTCATCATTGCATACTGAAGTTCCGTCTTGTGTACTGGCTTTTCATGGTTAAGAATTTAGGTGAAATTTTTAACATAGTCATGTTTCTCTACCAGTCTCCAATAAATGTTTGGCCCACCCAAGTAACCCAATAACCTCAATTTAGATGGTTATTATCAACTCATAAAATTTCATTACAATATGTTGATATTTAAAATTTCATTTTGTTTATTACTGTAGCAACATTCAAATAGTAAGCATCTTGTACAAAGACATGCTCTCTTCTTGCCTACCAGACTCTTTATGTTCACATTCTGAGTGGAATAAAATTAAGAATTATGGAAATGGTGTAACAAAATTTTTTTTTTTGCAGTTACATGAGACCTATAGCAAGGTGTGTAAAAGCAGGCATGTACCACCTGTCGACCAATCAGAATTCCTGTCTCTGTGTCACCTTATTGAAACAAGAGGTATAATTGGTCTGAAGAAATCAAAAGAGACAAGACTAACAAAGGTGTTTTTTCATTTGCATTGTTACTTCATCTCTGCCTTTAAATTGGACTTGCAATAATATAGAGTAATGTACTATCTTGCTAAGGTATACATTTTATATTGAAGTCCGAACATAATCTGTGCTGCACGCAATTCTCGCTTCTCAATTTGTTTATTAATTTTTTTTATAATACAATTTGCAATTTTAAATTATTCATTAACATCTGCATTTTGAATAATGTCACAGTTTGTTTTCCATTATAGTAATAGTTTGAATTTTTCAAACAGTTTAGTAAATACAAATTTGTGTATTAATATCAAAATTCAAAGGCCTAAATGACGGGTAAATGTACTTTAAAACCATTATTTTGTTATTAATAAATGTTTATCTTTTACCCTCAGATTTGTCTAAAGCTTGCAGAGAAGGAGGTTGAATTTGCCTTACAAGACAAGGTGCTACTGTCCTCCATATTGAGTGCTGGCCTACCCTCCAAGAAATAATGTGATATGCAGCTATTTTAAAATTAGTAATCTCACAAGTTGTCCTGTTTAATTTTGAGGCCTACTTTTAGCCTTTCTCTGATTAATGAAAATTTAAACATCCTGGGTTTTCCAACCCATGATTGGCCAAAATATAACATGTGATTCATGTGATGTCATTAGATATTTGTCTGTCAGGCGTAAAAGGCAGGGTTTGATCAGGTTGTTTGAAATTGTATATTTGTTTATGACATCTGTTCAAATAATTTGTCTTACCATTTGTTGGAAGTTGTACAAAATGATCTACTGTACCCCAGCACAAAAAATCTGACCAAACATTTAATGATTTACTGAAAAGCTCTGTCCAGAATATGAAATTATATTTGGCATAAAACTGTTGTATGACTATATAGTTATGATGTACCTATATATGGACATGATGTGATGTCATCATGACCATATTTAGGCATGTCACATGTTTTTCTCAAATCAGCTTTTAGTCTGGACAGGGCTGAACCAATATCTTATCAAACCTAATTTGATCTGACAGACAAAAATCACAGCTGTAAACTAACTGTACAAGAAACATTGTAATATATATACTGTGCATAATGCTGTAGTGAGAGTAAATTCTTTCATAATAAATTGCCAATTTTTTAAAAATAAAATAATTAATAACAAGTTTCAGCTTTAATTTTAAGTTCAAATTTTATTAATTTCAAATGAGCTAATGAATTTTAATATTTATGATAATTGTAAAAAATGGAGTTAAGTCCAATATTGACTCAATTCAAAATTATTTTCAGTATTGTAATTGTTTTAAATATTTGATATTTTTAGTGTTGACTTGTAATTACTGTATTGATCTTATCTTGCATATTTTTTATGAAAATAAAATCATTTAAATAATAATGCAATGTGTTTGTGATTGCTTTTTTTGAGTGTTTTGTAGGCCTGGATAATTAATTTTGCAATACCATAGCAACATAAAGATTAATGCCTATTATTCATGGGCGGCGAAAGCAGTCTGGAAAGTCAGGCGATCACCCAACCAATATCGAGATCGTTTTTGAAGTTCGAGAGTGCTATTTCCAAGCATTCAGAAATGCTTAATAAAATCTCATCCCCAACTATAGTGGATCTGAGATTTGTGTAAATATACCTCCGCTCTTCCATTTTGTACATTTTAAATATAATATTTGGCTGTTAAAGATCATGCCATATATACAAACAATTATACAGATTATATGATCCTTGCACTTCAATAACTTGATGTAAATAAAATGCAGATAACATTTGTCACAATTTTGTATGACGACCTTTGACACTGAATGCGTAGTTAAAACTACAAGAACTGTTTTACATTTTTTTTAAGACATGAAAGAAGTTGCTGAGTTGACCAAGCAATTTTTATTCTCTTCATGAATTGTTTGGGTTGGTGAGCTACACGATAACATTAGTTGGACTTTTGGTTCTGTCATATTTATAGAGAGTGACCCTTTACAACCAAGTCCAGAGGGCAAGATCAGGGGGGTCAGGTGATGTCAAAGCGCCCTCTAAAAATGTATAATACTGCTGTACATTCGACCAAACTTATACAAAATATATACGCCTAAACAGCAGACTATTGAATTTGACATACTTAATCTGGAAAAATTAAATTAGCCAATAATTTAACAAATAATTCGGATGAAATTAATAATAGCTATAATGAAATAATTACCAAAATTAATTTTATTTATTATCCCGTCCAACAGCAAATACAAAATTCGCCACTTATATGAAAAACTATATAAAAGTGTATAAAAAATGATATATAAGATATATACATCCATGTGATGTGTTTTGCGTGGCGGATGAAATTTCGAAAACAAGGGGGAAGGTCTCCAAGGTGTAGGGATAGAATATGTAGTATATACGTTTTGAATCTAAAGAGATTGGGAATGTTATGTGAGACTGGAAAAGTCTCTGATAGATAATTAGCCGAGATTCGTTGTGTCAATACCATCGAGGATAAATGACAATTACTTTGATCATTTTAGCAAACTAGCGAGCACGCCGCCGCGGTGTTTGAACTGTATTGCCCTTGGCATTCCACTATTAATTACTTGCTAACAGTATGCTATAAGTGCCACTATATTTACTAATATCACACAATTCGAATAATGATGTTTTCAACAAGATTGTTTCAGTATTTACATAGACGAGGTCAGCAGGCAGGATAATACACAGCACGTCCAATTGATACGGAGGAGTTAAACAGATAAAATCTTATTAAATATATATCATTTGTGTTGTGCTATTAAACGTAATTGAATAGCTGGATTGCTTATTTTGTATATTCAAATACAGTAAGTTATTAGATTTTAATCGAAAATGAGAACGGGACGCATAAATACAATCGTCCCATATCCCCATAAATTGCAATCCTTTTAAATACACCTAGACACCTAGGCCTAAACATTAAATAAATTATATTTTAAAAAATGGATCATGTTGACTATGCGTCATGTGGTACACTTCTGTTTAAGTCTTGCGTTATTAAATATTGAACAATATAGGCCTACTATACTATAATAAGAACTGTAATAAATAAAACATTCGGAATAGACTAATTGCTATATAAATTTATAATAGTTTAAGCCATTTATTTCGGTCGGCAGCTCGCATAAACTGAGGAAAATTTTCGTTTTAATAAATTCTTAGAATGTGTAGCAACTTTAGCTTGATGATTGTCAACTGTACACTTCAATTTGATGCCATACACAACTGTAAATGCAAATGAGGAAAATGTTTGGAAATTGCTCATTTAATCTACAGTCAAGCAGCTGTCAGTATGGTCATACACTAATAGATTCTTTAAGTTTGATAATGATAAAAATATAATCTCAGTGCTCAATTCTATAATGTTAGGGGGTGTTCGATCGAAACGCATGCTGGCGTCTTTTAACTTATAGATTAACTTGAACGAAAATGATCATAGTATTTACAATTTATAAATTAATAAATTTAACTCGTCTTCAACATCACACCTGAGTTACAGAGGCCGCACAGTCTAAGTTCGGGTGGAGTTGAGGGAGAAGCGTATATTCCTTCTTCCTTTTTAAATTTCAAGCGAGTGACGATACTCTAAAGCCCTGTGCAGACTATCAAATGTTAGTTGACAAAAACATGTAGCATACCTAAAATATAGTCATGATGACATCACATCATGACCATATAGAGGCACATCATATATGGACACAGTTTTTTGTCAAACAAAATTTGATATTCTGGACAAAGCTTAAGGAAGATTTATATATGAGTACCTGTCTGCTGTTTTCTTGGATTATTGCTGTCCTTGATAATATTTTGCTACTTTTATACATCTGAAGGAAAATCAATAGAAAGAAATAGCCATAGGTCTACAGTATATCAAAATAGGCCTAAGCATCAAGGTTCTCGGGGTCTTAGTGCGGCGATTATTCAAAGGAGGCGCTCATTTGACAGGCCCGTATCCAGCGGTACGATAGGCGCGTGTGCATTCTGTACCCCTCCCCCAAATCGCTAAATGTGCACATTCTTAGGACATTTGAGAATATACTGAATATAACATTTATTATTTTCTGTAATAAAGATTTAAACTGGATAATAAATCAGCCTTTACATTTTACCAGCAATCTATCGTTAGGTCAGTAGTTGGGTATTAATAGTGCCATAGTAGACCTAATGGACAATCGAACCTGCCATCCAAACACCTTCCACCTGACCCCAGTTAGTCCATTTTTGTACACTCTACACTCCCACGCCTACACCCAATGGCAATCCTGTATACTGCCCTGTTTGAGAGAAGTGCTTATAACTCATTATTGAAGTGGTGTATCAAATTTTAAAGCACATGCCACACTATACCCCTCCCCCTCCCTTATGGACATTGGTTCACGCAATGGGGACATGTTAATAATAATTACATATGGATCCTCCGTAGCCTAGGCCTACTTTTTGATATTTTGTTAACTGAATAAGCCGTTAGCCGTTATTAACCTTCAAAATGAAATTGTTCGCCGCTAGGATACATAAACGCTGATTTACATATTAATTAATAGGTAAAAAAGATATTGCCTGCAGCATTCGAGAATTATCCCACTGAGTACGTTCCTATGTGGTTCACACTCTAGTCTGCTTGTACTCAATTGGACAGTAACAAAATAAATTCAATCTCATTGAACATTGCTTTTTGGCAAACTTAGCGATAAATATTTGATTTCTGTTTAAATTTGCTGTCACAACTATTGATTGTCAAAGTAATTAATCCGTCTATCAACGTAAACGTGATTTTAGTCAACGTTTATGAAAAAATCAATAAGGTTCATTATCACAGTTAGTTATTCAAGAGGTATTTTTATTTGATGAGGTCTTTTTAAATATAAAAATGTTATTATTATTAATTAAACTATACTGGTAATGACAATGACGGCGACAATGATGATGAATATGATGATGATGATTATTACTACTACTACTGCTGCAGCTGCTACTGCTATTAATATTATACACTGTTGTCACTACTGCTACTTCTGCTACTGCTACTATGGCGAGCCAACTATGTTAATATGATTTCAAATAATATAGTATCATAAAGAATTAGGTGCTAGAGGGCTAGTAACTGATCATGCGCATCTCGTCGTTAATAACATTTATTTTCATTTATTTATCAACCAATCAAATTATTATTATTATTCCGATACGGTAATGTATTTCAATAAATGCAAAAAAAAAAGAAGAAAAGAAACCCCCATTTATTTTTTATATGTAGGCTAATTAAAACATTGGTGGCTTTAAATATATTAAAATATATCCAATTAGAACTCATTGAAAGGAGAAATCGGTTAGGAAAAGAAGGTTTTGGTTATTTAAAAAACCCGAAAAATCACCAGAAGC